AACTTATTTGAATGTGTGGGAAAAGATGGATTATAAGTAGGCAACTTTAGCCAGAAAGTTATTAATTAGTTAATGGCTGTTTTATAAAAGCATTTTCCCATGGATCATGGCCTTTTATAGAAATAAAATCGGATAACTGCTTCTCTAGTGCTTCGGATGAAGGCCCAAGAATCTAATCTTATGGGTTTTGTTCCTGGTTCTTCTAATACACATTTCTATTTAAGTGGTTTTTATACCTGCATGCTTAACTTCCTATTCTGAAATGTGAGTTCCCATCTGCATTTGTCTCAAGGATGTTACACATAGTAATTGCATCCTGTTATGTTTATAAACTAATCTAAAGTATTCAGGCCATTTTTTTCAAGCTGAAATGGCAGTATGGAAGAGCCCTGCTCAGCTACTGACTGCTGCAAACAATGACTTTGAACAATCCTACAAGGGGCCCTGAGATCCAAGTAGACATTACCATGAGTGCTGCAGGAGCACGTAGGGATTTGTTTGCCGTAGATGAAGCAGAAATCCCTCTGCTAAACTGGAGGGGTGATCAGTGCCAGGCAGTGGTTCAGAGCAGGGTGAGCATTTCCACATCACTTGCTAAAGCAGCACCTCTGCTGCCTGCTTCCCTAGGATGATGCTCTGCAGGTGTTACATAGGAGAACCCTCTAGCACCACAGCCAGAAAAGCTTCCAAAGAAGCCTGCTTTGTACATCAATTCCCCGTGTCATCTTTTTCAGCTTGGCTGGTGACTGTCCTCCAGCTCCATTCCTGATGTACATCCCCAGCTCCAGTCCCCAAGTGGGGACATAGGGATACTTAATCCCATCCGCAAGGCAAGTTGAAGCAGCCCTTCATCTACTTGAATGCATTCCTATTCTGCCCTGCGCTGACTTGACCAGGTCTGGGATCAGCACAGAACCAATCTGCACGTGGTTTCACCCCTATGCCCAACTGCTCTCTGACTTGATCTCAACACAGAGACCCCCTGGAAAAGGGCTATGGGTTGGATGGATCTAGCCCTTACTGGATCACCCCTTGCTCTTCCAATCCAGACAGCACGGCAGATTTTCAGAACCGTTCCTAAGTGCTGTGATTTCTTTTCTTATTTAACTGGCAGATATCCGTAGCAGTGAGGTTTTCTTATGATAATGGACTAGAGAGAACGCGTCAAAGGAGACAACAGTTCTTTGCTGTAGACTCAAGCTCCCCCTGCTGAACAAAATGAGTAAAACAGAAGATAATCGTCGGAGTTGAGTTGCTGGACTTGACTTGCTTCAGTGTCAGATTAAGTAATGATATAAATCCCTTAATGATCTGCCTGGCACATGAGATATCCTCTTGTAAAAATAGAGCTCAATAAAGCATATCCACACCCTTGCAATCTGGCTGCTGTGGGATACGAGGTTTGGGGCCATTAGTGTAGAATACCACAAATCCTTCTCTTCAAAGCTCTAATGCAAGGGACTCTTCTCATCATCTGCAGAATAACCTATTCGAAAGGACAGGTGGCAAGTCACACATGAATTGCTATCGTATGGTATAATGTATACTCCAAATATTTACAAGACAAGGCTGCACTCCACTCCCTCTCTTGAAACCACATGTATTTATAGATGTAAGCGAAGGCAGAATTTAGCCAATACCATTGCATCCTTATATGAGATGATTAAAATACTGTGGCTTAGCTGCTTTCTTGCTGAATAAATGTGTCCATCATCCTTATCCCCCATATTTCAGCTACTGAGAGCTATATAAACATGATGCAGATCACAGAAACTGCTGTTTGTTCGGCAGCTACAGGTTACTGTGATGTCTCACATTTCTTTTGGTCTGGCATAAATGTCTAATAGTGAGACACTACAAGCTGAGCTAGTCATCATATTATCCCTTTGCATAAGGACCTCCACAAGACAACATGTGTTAATATTACAGCCTTCTTCCTCCTTGTATCTGCCTTTTATTTGTGATTTGAAGAGGGCATAGAAGGAACACAACTGAGTGATCAGTTTAGGTGTTAGACTGCTTGAAATGGGTCAGAGCACCTGATTACGCTACAATGGAGTTTTGAGCTGAAAGCTCATGTTTTCCCATGAAAGAAATATCAAAAATACCTGGAAAGGCACTGGAGATATTCCTGACTCCACTGTAATTTTCAACACCGTTTGTATAATTATTTATGACGTTTGACTTCTGTGTTTAAGCTCTTCACAGGAATCAGATCTCCAAAAAGATCTAACTTGAAAACAGATGTTTATACTTATACTTCTGTTTTCACTTCAGGCTGGTCTTTGATGAAGAATGGAATATAGAATAGGAAATGTCATTTCTTTTATCATACTTAAGTGCAGTGAGTTTGATTTGGACAGTAGAAGCAATTCTCTAAAATCTGGCAGTGCTTTCCACGATTGTTAACTAAGTTACAGTCAGATCATTTTTTTTGACTGTTTGCTAGTTCTGCTATATAGATTGCACTTCATTCTTAAAAGTGCTTGAGATGATTATGAATGGGATCAAGACATGTTTTCCCCTGCCTGGGTGCATGAAAATAAAGTGTGCACACACTGTCAGGTGAGACTGCTGTCAGTAGGAGTGGAGCGAGGATCACCCCTTAAGAGTTTACTCAATAGAGGAGAGAGTTTTCCACGCACCGACTTCGAATCTACTGTATTTCTACGCCTCTTGCATTTAATGCCAACTTCGTTTTTGCACCTATCTTTTCTCCAAGCTGTTGAGTTAGTTCTTAACTCTGACTCCTTTCCTAACAGCATTAAAAGCTTGTGGATATAAATAGATGTTCCGCTTCTTCATTTCAGTTATGTTCACTGAGTGTCAGAACAGAAACAATAGGAAGGGATTAAGCAGTCACAGAAAAAATAAATACATCCTTGTTCAGTGAGCAGTTTACCAGCTGGGGTAATACTGCTTATAATGCCATAAGAATTACTCTTATTAAATAGAAAAAATACAGGCACTTTTGCAAAGGAGACACCAAAATGTGAGTCAGATTAAATGGCTTAGACAGACAATTTTTTGTTCTTGGATCTGACAGTTTTATGCCAACTTTCTATGGCATAATCATAGTAGTTCAACTGCAGTAACAAGCAGGAGCTGTGATTACTCCGTAGGTCACAGATGACATTTCTTTTGAATCTAGAGCATCTTAACTGTATTCAAGACCACCCAAACTTTCATCATGCAAATGAGCACAGAGGTGAGGTTAAAGAGCAATCTGATCACAAAAATGAACGAAAGGAGAGGTAACAGGGAAATAGTTCTTGGTTTGTCTCACCAAACCCTTGCATTGTGACTCAGAGCTGAGGCCTAAAAGTTTAAGCAAGAACAACCATACAAAATTTTCACTGATACTCTTATCTATAGATGTGGAGGCTTCAAGAGAAGAAAGGGTGTTTTCCAAAAGACATGCTCTTTCTAGTCCATGGAGATATTCTGCACCAGACAGAAGTTCCTCAGGGTGCAACTCTCTGGCTTTTATTATGCCAGACCAAGAAATCAGACAAGATAATTGGGAAGGTCCTTCTGGTCTTAAAACCCATGAATTCATGATTCATTTAATTTAACTGCTTTAATTGCAGGTGCAAGGTCGTACAAATATTTCACAAAGGCAATGATAATATTGTTTCAATGCAGTGCTGTGTTTGAGAGACTCCCATGCTGAGCTGCTCCACCAAAACAGATGACAGGCAGCCCTCATTCCAGCTGGAAAGCCAAACATGCTTAGAAATGTGTTTCAGATTTCTGTTTTTCAACTGGAAGATGAGCTGAGCCTGGTATGCCTAGATGGACTAGTCAGCACTGAACTGTTTTCACACTCATCAGAGTTGGATGTGAAAGTCCAATTCAGTTTGTGTATCACATCGGATACCTATCCTGTGATCACATCATTCCTTGGCCAATGTCCTGTGGTACAACCCTTTAGAGGCTTTGATAGGAACCTGATGAGATGGCAATCATGGGCTGTGATTGACATTTCCAAAGTGAGCTAAAAAACTCAAGCAAGCCCTGGTCTCTCTGAAGAGTGCGGTTTGAAATCAAATACATTTTTGGCCAGCACAGTTTTGTGGCATTGAGTATAATAGTATTTCATTTTGTTCAATGACTAGCTTTCATCTTAAACAACTCCCTCCTTCAAAAATGGAGCTCATCTATAATAAATTAAAGACGGTATTTGGTGTGTGTACTCATTTAAGAGAGGTGGTTTAGTTCTGCAAGGTACCACCTACAGTTCTGTAAAAGGATCTCAAATCTCACATGCTGTTATTCCTCTCATGTACCCAAACTGCCCCTCTAATCTCCTCCTCCTTCCCACTCCAACACCCACAGCAGCTTGTGCAAACAGTTTGCCTCTACTGCAGCTTTTTTTTTTTTTTTTAAAGTATCTGTAGCCCTTATGCAGCTTTCCTTCACAGGAATGGGTGTTACCCAGTAGTCTGAACCTCCAACAGAGGTCATTATGTTGGGTTCTGCTACACATTGCAAGGGATGTGCAAGGATTAGCAAAGAGCTTCCAGGTTACAGAGATTGAGAGAACTGAATGGGCATTAGTAGTGGTCAAACAAAGAGGAGCTTATTTTCTGCATGGTCTGGATGCTTGCAGAAATAGCCAAGGGAGAGGATAGCAGTAATTGTGGTAAGGCTGTGAGTGGTGCGTGTGCTCGAGTTATTATGGGGTTTTTGTACGTGTCTTGTATTTATCTCTAGACTGGATTATCACAGTGCACTCTCCCATGCTTGGCCCAGAAAATGTTTGCCTAATCTTCTTGCCAAAGCGATTAATAAAGTGATTAAAAGATCACTTGACAAACTGCTAGGTTCCTTCAGCTGTGGTTAATTTCATGTGTTATATTTCATGGCACTGGGTCTATCTGTGAAGTTTGTATCCAGATCAGCATGTGCAACCTCTGGCATGAGCCATCAGCCCTGCAGGCCCTCTGGAACTATGCGCTCTGTCCAGAGAGACACTGACCTCTGAAGTAGGTCAGTGCCTGTTTGTGCAGGGACTCCTCTAATTGCTCCTGCAGCTCTTCTGACTCCCAAGCCCAGCAGCCAGTCTCAGCCTCGCTTGCTCCTTGCTTGGCACCCTGCATTTGTAGGGTTCCTTTATCAGAAAAACATTATCAAAATACAGGGCAGGTACAGAGGTGTGCCTGGACACAAAGGTACTTCTATAGGTAAAGATAGGTGTGGATTACTTGGAAAGAAGGACTAAGAGGTTTTGCCTTGCAGTAGCCACACCATTCCCACAGCAGCTACACTCAGGCATGGTTGTGAAGGCAGTATTCCCCATACCAGGTGATATTTAAATAATATTTCATTCTTGTACTTAATGTGGCCCATTTCTTTAGCTCCTGTTGAGCAGAGACTCTTCTACCAGCCACACGTGATTTCCTTGTGATGCAATAAAACTGCATGCTCGGAACTGGCATTACCACTCACAGCCTGTTACAGTCACCGGGGCACTAATTACCCCCTCCCCTCCCAGAATTTGATGTCATGAAACTCACAGGATGCATCATTACCTTGGAGATTACAGCACTCAAGCTCCCCTCCTTCTGGTGCTGTACCTAAAAGAACAGCAGGAGTTACTCATGGCTAGCCATGTTTGGGACAAAACAGATAGCGGCCAGTTCAATTTGTGTTTAGGAGCAACTTCGGACTCAGATGAAGCACTTTGAGTACAAATTCAGCTTTTTTTCCCCCAGCTGAACTTGTGTCCTTTTCTTACTCTACTCAATTTTTTTTTTTTCTCTTTGATGTATTTATCAATGTTAATTTGTTAATTTTGTTATAGGTTCTGCCATCCCACATCCTCTTGCTCTGCATCCTTGCTCCCCCTCATCAGCATCTCATTCTGTTTAGCCACAGCAGAGTGTGATCCATTTTGGAATAATCAGTTAGGCACTGGCAGATATCTCCATTTGAAATTCAGAGGAAGAATTTCTCCACCTGCAAAATCAGCAAGCCTACGGCTGTGCAGATGGAAGGTGCAGATGGAAGGTTGAGGAGAAAATAAAAAGATAAGCCTAAAATCACTTTCCAAGCTGGTAAAAGCCAAGGAAAATCAGGCAGATCTAGGACTGGGAGAGGAAACAAATCTCAAAAAGAAATGGTGAGGTTGATGCCTATCAAACTAAGCTGTAGTGGCACTAGTGGTTTGTGTACAATAAGTTCACACAGGGAAAGCATGAGAGCGTAGCTGTGGTATGGAGGCAGTGCTCCTGCACTGGGCAGGAGGCCCTTGGGCATGGAGATAGAAGCAGGCGAGGAAAGAGGGAGTCCTGCTCTTTTCACTCCTGGAAGGAGTCATTTATCATGACAGCCCACCTTTGCTTTGAAGGCTTGCAGATGCCTCACGATAAAGAACTCAGAACTCTTATTGTAAACATTTCATGGATTCTATGGCTTGGAGGCAATTTTGAGTGAAATCTGTAGGAAGCAGTTCACTTCTGTAACCTCAGGGCACAAAGGTTGTGGGAGTGGAGTGATGTCTATGGTCTCCACCTGGGTGCAGGCACCAAGGGAGCTGCACCAGCTCGTCCATGGGCTGAACTACGGCATGAGAGCGTTATCTGTGAGGTTGGTATGTGGGCCTCACCATGCTCCCTGTACCCTCTCTTTCTTCCCCAGGTCAGCCAGTTTTCTAATCACTGGTCAATGGTTTGTCCAAAGGCCATCTGCCCCACATGGCTTCTGTGGGAATACAAGCTCCTGAAAGCCTTGCCTTTAGCCATGCCTTGTATGCAATATACAATCCTGGCACACAGAACAATAAACAAAGAAAAGAGCAAGGAATATTCTGGGGGGGGAAGATAGCTTTAACTTGGCCTGATACTAGCTGGGCAGGTACAGCAGTCCTGACTTCAGAAATGTAGTATCTAAACTATTCTGAGACAGTTTCTGCTGGAGGTCTTCACCAGGTGAAATGACTGCATGATCTTAATAGAATCAACTTTTCTTTTCCCCCAACATTTAGAGCCCTGCTGGCATGATCTATGTGAACCTTGCATTGACCTTTGTCTTGCAGATCCATATCTCATCTGCAGATGATTCCCATACTTCTGTCATTCTGGGACAAAGACCAGAAAAGAGATTTAAGTTTGAGCACATAAAATACTATTTGCTTTTTCTCCCCCCCATCTGTCTTGCAGACTACAGGGAATAATTAGAAGATAATCTCTCTTAATTCCACAATACATAAAGCAATAAAACAGATGCCAGGATGGAACAGTCAGTGGAGTGAAGTTACGCCATCTAATCTCTTTCAAAAGCTGTGATTTTGCTAGAATGTTGCAAAACCAGAGAGATAACTCAGCATGCAATGCAGCAGATTGGGACAAAGGAGACGTATGAGCTTTCTGTCTATAGATATGGAAGGAAATGGGAGCCTGGACTTTAAATGACAGTTGGGGAATAAATCAACTGTGGACATGATAATCTTAAATATAATAAATACACTTACAACTAGCAGATTTATAATTAGCACACTTCTGTAAGACTTCTACTGAAGAATCACAAAGCATTTTCACAAAGGAAACTGCAGTTTTGGGCCCATTTTGTGGATGAGCCAACAGACATTCAAGGAGGAAAGGACTTGCCTGAAGTCAGTAAAAATCATCTGACACTGAGCATGTTGCTACTCTTCTGGACCATTGCTTTTCTGGCATGTGAGGCAACAACTGTGGGTGTAACTTGTCTGTCTGGATAATTGTTTGATAATAAATAACAGATCAAAGGGAGATACTCTCTGGATGCTAAGAGTCTCTGAGAGGGTGTTAGTGGCAAGACAAAGCTCAGAGGCTATAACTAGTTGCAGATTAAAAAACAAAAATAAACCCTCGGAAGGTGAAAGACCAAGAAAACTGGATTTACAGAGGCAGATCCCATTCAAATGCAATTTATCTCTCGTGCAGTAACGTGGAGGTGGTAAGATTGCCCAGGACTTGCATGACATCTTACACACATGGTGTGTATTCCTTAGGCAGCGCTGCATAATAAGTGTCTAATTATTATTATGATTACACTTGGCATTTTTAATAACAGCAGTAATTGGGTGATGTTGATGGCCTCATTTTAGGATTCTGTACTTGGCCTGGAGCTCCAATCATTAAGTGCTAGCTGTGCAAAGAATAGCGTTTCATGAAATATATTTCATGTCCCAGATATCTGCCAGGCTGGAGGGCAAATGCTGACAGTGTCCTTAATGCCAGGAGAGGTGTATGTCTTTTAGACATTCATAAGACCTTAGTGACACACTGTGATTTCCCACATTAGCATACTCAGGTCAGTGGGAAAGCTAATTAAACAGAAGGCATTTGGCTTTGATCAGCTGCTTAAACTATATTGCCACGATAAAATCAAATGAAGCTCTGCTACTATCATAATGCATTCTGAAATGTAGAAGGGTGTGGGTGAGTGTTATAAGCAATATGAGCTAATGGTTTAAACCCTGGACTTGTAAGACATGGATGACGTGGATCTAAGTCAGAGAAATAAGTCTAGATATCCAAACAGAAAATGGAGACAGCGATTTGGCAAAGGATTTTAGCAGATGCAGAGGTTACCCTTAGAAAAGCACATAACACGAGCAGTTGACTTGAGCCAGATGGGATGTAAACTGGTACTTAAGGATAAGCATATGTTTACATGCTTATTAAATGAGAACAGGTTGCTGAACCAAAGCATAAGTAGTTGAGCTCACTCAAAATGCTGCAAGATTTTTAGTAAAATAAAAAGGGAATTGCATTTCTCTCAATCTTTGTTCTTGCCATTTGTTACACGGCTCCCATCTCCCAGCAACTTTTGAAACAGCGTACTATTTATTTTTACCCAAAGTACCAGAAACACAAAAATCTCAGGTAAATTCTTACACCATTGGTGTAGATCAAAACCTGGGTTAAAAGAACACAGCTTGGATTTCTGTGGCCTCCAAACTGCTTTTCAAATGTATTAGGAGGAAGGAACAGATTCACTCATGAATCTCCAAGTGCTAAACAATGCAACAGCGTTAAGGACAAAGGGCACATGCTAAAAATTGAGTAGATATTAATGAAAGGCCAATATCCTTGGAAGGATCGATGCTTGGAGGTGCAATCCTGAGCTCTAGTCCATTACCACAGAGCTGTAATCAGTCATCACCAGCTCTGAGTAACTTATTAGTACTCTATTTAGCTGAGCTCCACCAGAGGCCACTGTTGTTAAATATATGTAGGTATTTTAGGGTGTGCGATGTACAGACCGTTTACTCTCTGGTTAGCAAATACAATGGGCATTACCTATTTAGGAAATTTTAAGGCTTTCTTTCCCCACCTTTAAAAGCACAGGTAGATTTCTGAAAGACACATACATTTCTTCTTCTTCTTCTTAACAAGAAATGGATATTAACGATCATGATTTTTCAGAGAGCACAGCATGTACTGAGCAACAACTGCCCCTCAGACAAGAGCTTATGGAAAATACAGGGATACATGCATATAACAAAATGAAGGAGGAAAGGAGGTACTTGATACCTATTTTGTTCATTAATTTTTGCAATTCTTACTTGAACAGATGGCCTGAAAGTCTTACTGAACCAGAGCTTTCTTATACTCCATCTGTAGGATTCTGTAATACTGGGAAGAAAAAAAAAAATCTCGTCATAATTTGCTTTTTAAAATGTCCTGGCACACTCGAGATTCTTCATGATACAGAAGTACAAAAAAAAAAAAAAAAAAAAAGCCATGAAAATTCATTAGTTATCTTCGAGGAGAATGGTCTTGCAGGAATGACATTAGGGGTGCAGTTTATCTGTGAAGATTCATATCTCAATGTGAACGTCATTCACAGGGACCCAGCAAACCTATTTGAGCACCAGGGATTGGGGGGAACAAGGTTTCAATAAGATACTGATTTACTGAATGCAAATAATATTTTAACAAGACAAGTGGGACAGATGAAGGGCTTTTCCCAGGTGCATAACTGAGTCTGAAAGGGAGTTCCTCTCCCTAACATGAGACAGTGTTGAGTCTAACTCCAGATGAAGTTTATTCTTCTGGGATCAATCCCACAGCTGACAGCCTAAAACCAAACAGCTTTGTTTTGCCTACCTATATTAACTGTGAAGCTTAATAATGATAATTTAGACAAAGATTTATTTAAAGGTACCTCTTCTCTGCTTTCATCTTACATAGCAAAAGACTGGCCTTGCTATGGGGCTATAAAGCACTATGAATGTCACCACAGCTGGAGAGTTTGGGAGGGAAGGAGTCTAATAGAGACAGTAGCCTGTGCATTTCTATAACAAATTACTGTTGACTGGTCTAACACATTAAGGATCTTTGAATTCTCCAGAATGCAATATGTTCAGTGCAGCAAATAGCTGGCAGCTTCCGTACCATCTTAACAAACAGCCTTAGATAATCTGATGGAATAATCTACATTACAGCATTCAATTTCCCATCAGCTGATGCTGAAATCCCTCTCAAACTGCTTTTCTGCTATTTGACTCAGGATATTGCTTCTTGGCTAGCCTACAGCCTCCCTCCAGTCATCAATAAGCATTTTAATTGTCAAAATAAAATCCTAAATGTGAATCAAATCTTCTCAGCAGTTCCAAATTCTGTTTCTGCAAAGGATCTTGTCAAGGCTGCTGTTTAGCACTAGAGGGCAATCGAGGTACACATGCCAAATATTCTCCTCTTAGTAGCATTTGCCCTGGGGAGCAGTGACAAACAGGGCAGTGATATCCGTTTCAGCCCAATCTCTGCATGGGGAAGCAACACAGCATTGCCCTGGTGAGGTGGGCATCACCTAGAACATAGCTCAGGAGACCAAGGGCTGAAAATGAGCCAACTGAGGAAGCAACTCCAGGTTGGATAGGGGAAAACGGGTTGGTGCAACCAATTCATCATCATCATCTTGGCTACATGGAGAAGATGGGCAGAAACCCAATGACTTCATCACCTTTCTCAGGCAGAAAATCAGATAAATAGGTTTTCCTATTCCTATTTTGGGGAATTGGAACATCTCTAGATCTGTGCCTACATGCTAAGGGCAGATGTACCTCAGTGGTATGTACTACATGGAACTGGTATGTACTACATGGAACTGCAGCCAGCAGTACGCTCCCATTCACCCCATTCCATCTCACAGCTGCAGCAAGCCTGTCCAAGAGGTTCCTTGGTGCCAATGGCCAAGGAAAAACTGCAATAATAAACATGAATTAGAAGTAGTCATAGCAATTGCTATGTGAACTTCAGGTCCTAAAATCTATGAATCTCAGATGGAATCTGCATTGTAGTAAATCCTCCTGAGCTATTCTCCGGGCCATCTTATTTAAATATTTGCTTAGTGCAGCAGATAACCCTCATAAAATGGAGTGATCTGTCAGGATGAAATAAATGCAATTTCTCCCTCCTCTAGCCACCCAGCTGCCTGTGCTCCCGCCTGTGCTTTAAGCACATAAAGCGCTGTGCAGCAGTAGGAAATTCTGCATATAATTTGGGTGGAAGTCGTTAGGCCCAGCCCTGTGGTTGTGAATTCACAGTTTCTTTAGCCAATACACAGAACTCCAATCTCCTGCAACCATTACATCTGCCTGCCAGGGGTCTCTTACTGGAAACTGAGGAAAATCCTTCTCTGTTCTGATGAGAACTCTTTGCATTTTCTATAGTGCTTGTTTTGTGCAAGTACTCCTGTCAAATCTATCACCAAAGAACATTTGGGAGGGGACAGCACATTCAAATTCAGTATTTCTGCATATTAAAGTAAGTTAGTGGTGCAGTGTAAGAAACAAGCAGTCAGCCATGGCACAGATCGCTGCTACTCACCCAGTGAGAATTAATCACCGCAGACCAAAATGAATGATAGCTCATACAGTTACAGCCTCATTCAAGAAAGAAAATGCAAGAAAATCATTTTCAGCTGCATTTAAAGTGGTTTTACTCTGCTTCAGCGTGAAGCCAGTACAGAAGATACAAGAAAAAAGGGGATAGACTTTTGCAGGGTCTGTTGTGATAAGACAAGAAGAAATTGTTTTGAACTAAAAGCAGGGAGATTTAGACTGAGCACCTGATGGAGCTGTAGGCATCCCTGTTCATTGCATGGAAGTTGAACTAGATGACCTTTAAAGGTTCCTTCCAACTCAAAAAACACTGTGATTCTAAACCATCTACATATTTTGAGACTTTCCCATATATCTTGAGATCTAATTCATGATAGCATATCTGGATGAGTTATCCTGTTCACACAGACCATACATATATATACCTCAGCACAGCTGATCACATCTCCAGGCTTGCAGATCACCTTGGGTAACAGGTAGGAAGTTTTTATATTTATATTGCACGTGCAGATCGTATTAAAAGGACTTAATACTTACACTGCACACCACACAAGTGGGTCCAATGTGTTTATAAGTTTGAAGAATTTCACACTGGTTGAGCATTGAGGTTACTTTCAGAGCCTTCCTACAAGCTGGTGACCAACACTAAGAAAATAATCAGATTTCCCATGGCACTGGACTAGAAGTACACTTGCAGTCAATTACCATATCCATGCAGAGCAATATCAATCTGTAGTAATGAGCAGTACCTCCTAAAACAAATAAAACACACTAAGTTTTTCACATGATCATCTGACCATAACCTGAAGCACCTAATTTGGAAGTGATCAGACACACACGTGGAACATAAAGCACTTAACATGCTACAGCAAACAAAAGTTCCTATATTCCTTTGTAGCTCCTAACAACACATTTGCTTATCCATCTGCCTAAACTCTCTCTCTGCACCAAGCCAAAACCTCAGCCTCCTATAAGCAGTGCCCCAGGATGGGACGTGGCATATGGCAGAATGGAGCTGCCTTCCAGGGTGGCCATGAGCTGCTCATCTCCAAGCTCCCCTGCCACTTCCCATGGGAGAACAAGTCATTAGTCCCAGTGTCGCAGCCAAATTTCAATCTAGGTCATTACTAGCAGTTTAATTTTCCCCAGCGGCTTCATTTGGACATGGTATTCATCACTCTTTCTGAAACAGTTATGGGATAACCACTGAGCATTGATGACAGAGGTTTTTATTCCCACTTTTGGCTGCTTGACAGTGATGGAAAAAGCTTATCCAGGGCAGACACGTGAACATACTGTACAGAAATCTTTGACATCCCTTCAAACGCCGTGCAGAGGAGTATAGCATTTTTGTCTGCATCGTTAGAAAACTTTGCACTTCGATTGCAAGTGATGTGGACACAAGACATACATGCACACCACGGGCCATGGTGGGACTGTTGTGTCTAAGCAATGTGCTTGCTGGGAGCAGCTGCCTCTACACCATGGGCACAGAGCAGATGAAGCCATACTTCCTACAGCTTTTGCTCTCTATGTCTTTAATGCTGTAAACCATGATTGTTTTAATTCAGAAATTGAGTGGAATCTTTTGCCCTGCTGAACCTTGGTAACTACTTACTACAAATTGCTCCTCCACTTTCAGCAGCAACCTTGCAGCTCTGACTGCTTAAACAGCCTGCAATTTACTAGTGCTTTAGACAAAGAATATGGAAAAACAGAGGAAACCTCCATCCTTTCTGAACTATAAGCCTCCAAAGAGAGGTTACTCTGTGTGTTGTGGACAAGTGCATAAGTAATGCAGAGCATGACACACACCTTGCTTGATAGAGAGATGTAGTTTTCTGGAGATGTTTTTGTTGCTACCATAAAGGACAAGAGACAATACCACCTGCTGGTGTGAGGTGATGTCTGCACAACTTATAGTTAATAACACAAAGGAGTAGAGAGCCACGTTTCAGCCCTGTGTTGCTTCTTCCCTCCCACCTCTCCAACCTGCAATCTCCCATTCACAAGATTGTGAGTTTCCAGGAAATTATGCAGAGACCCAGTCTGAACACATTAGATCCTGATCAGAACTAAAATCACAATTCTTGGTGTTCCCAATCCAAAAAAGATTTGAATCCCTCTAAGCCCATGTGTACTACTGGTCTCTTGGATGCTTAGGAATCTGAAGTCAAATGGGACCAGATTGTCATACTCTGGGGTGTGCAGGCAATGTTCTGCTCCTGTGAGCTAATGAGTGGGGTCTCTTATGGGACTTGATAATTCCTACACAACTTATACTGCATTTCCTGCACAAATTCCTCTTCCAGGCTTCAGGATTGTTATGCTGTAACCTATTCCTGAGACTGCAACAAGCAGATACGCTACATGGCAAACGCTCCATGGTTGCTTCCTCTAAGACTTCATCCTAGACAGTTGCCAAAAAAGCAGAGGACATAGATAAATATTCCTTTGAAAATCTGCCAGTGCCAACACCCAAGACTAAGATCAATGGGAAAGCAGCAAACCTCCATTGCATTCATATACCTGGCTCTGAAACCACAGCCTGTTGATAGCAAGATTTTAGGGCTCCCTCCTCAAAGCAGCCAGCACCACTACAACTAAAGGTCACCAGATATGAAAGGGAGAAATGATAGATACCCACAGGGAACAGAAGATACAGCTTCCTTCCATTTAGGAGAGGCAGTTCTTTGTACAGATGCTTGTATTCACTCAAGTAGTTGTCACCTCTGAATATCTAGGTGCAGAATACCTACCTGTATTATAAGAGTATATGTATAAATGCAT